CTTGTGGCCAGTCGATGAATTGCAGTTTTAGTCACTTCCTTGTTGGCTTCACGAGAGAGAGCGGGAGGTTGCCGCTTGGTTAAAATGATGCTTCACACTGGAATTCACCCTGTTGAAAAAACTGCATATGCTGGTTAAGTATGTTTTGAAGCATTGCAGCTGGTTTGAGCTGGTTTAAGCTGGTCCTGAGCTGGTTTCAGCTGGTCATGTGCTGGTCCTAAGCAACTAGCTCCTGCTCAGGACCAGCTCATAACCAGCTTAAACCAGCTCATGACCAACTAAGGACCAGCTGCTAAATGAATAAATGTAAATGTAAGTACCAGCTCAAACCAGCTGCCATGCTTCAAAACATATCTAACCAGCATATGCTGGTTTTTTCAACAGGGTTGTCAGACAAAATGGTGGATTCGGCATTATGATTGGTCAGATCGTCTGTCGATCAAGCTCCCTGCGAAGGGCCAATCGCACATGGATTTCAGTGTGTGAGAATGACTTGCAGGAGATTTCAGCTGTGAAAGGTAACATAGGTGACAGCAGATAAAATTGTGCAATAGTTTGTTCAAGTCTGTCCTGAATGTGATATGAATTCATAAAGATCATTTCCCAAGGACTGCTTGTATTTCAGCTGTTCACCTTTACAAACCCTGAATATATATTAAAAATGAAGATGCTCTAAGAAGCAGGTCCATCTTAATTTGTACCGACACTATTTATGTCCATATTTCGGTAACAGCTATATGCTGGTTTTTTTCAACAGGGTATGCTCTGTTTCTGTGAACAGTAAACCCTGCTTACTTTGATTTGATTGGCCATCTCAATCATTTTGACATTGACAAATACTGTTAGACTGCTGAGGCAGAACAGCCTAAAAATGTAACTTTTAAACCTTTTTGACATCCTTACAACAAACAGACCATTGTGTAATGGAGCAGCAAAGCAGAGGAAGAATTTTAAATATTGGGGGGACAGTTTGGCCATTTCTAATTATTGTGGGGCCAATTTCTAATTACAGGATGCCATGCCTGCCACTTACATTAGCTTACTTTTTTTTTTTTTTTATCAGAATGTTAACTTGACAACATAACAGTTTAATTCAATTTTATAGCTGTAAAAATCACTTGATATCTCCTATATTATGACATAAGAAAATACGGAGGTTATACTCATGGAGGAAAAAAACCCACCTATATATATATATATATATATAGTTAAAATGCATATAAATATCAGTAGACACTCTATACCTCCCAATAATATGTCTTAGTAATATATGAT